ATATCATATAAATTGCATTTTTTTCATGAATATGAATGTATTTTTATTTTGATTGGATAATATTTTTAAAGTCATAATAGAAAGGAGGAAGCATCAATTTAGGGGAGATAAGAGTTTTGGAGATAAGAAAATAAATGAGAGGGAGCTATTCTAATGGTTATATTCTAATTATTTTCGTTTGCACAATTATTATTATTATTTATTTATTTATTTATTTTTGATAATACAATTGTACTGAGATTGTAGCCCAAATTCAAGGGGAGAAATTTCAGATTGAGACAAACAAGGAAGCACGGAGTTCTCTTAAAATTATATTATGATTATATACATAATTTCAGGGAGAGTTTTTCTAAAATTATATTTTGAAATTATTCTAAATTTTTTTTTATCTTACTATTTATCTGCACAAATATTTTTATTATGTCAAAAAAGGAGACGTTATAACAATTATATATGAATTGTTTGTCAAAAAAATTTTAAAGAGGGAGAAAATAAATGCTTGCATTAGTATTGTTGAGTATTTCTTGTTGCATTTATTTAAAAAGATAAATTGATTTTCCTCACTTGTATTAAATTTTTATTTTGATGATGTCAAAGGAAGAAAAGAAACATGAATTTGAATTGTACATATATTTTAATTATCAAATATTTTTTGTTGCATAAATGCAAAAGAAATTGATTTTGATTTTAAATTGTGCCAAATCAATGTATATATTGCCATAATAAAAGGAGGGGACTATTAATTCTATAATTTGATTTTGATGATATTTAAAAAATTATGAGATAAATTATAATTTTTTAATATACATATTTTATAATAATTTGATACAAAATATAAAAATATATTCTATTTTTTTTATACATGTTGCATCGAATGAAACTAAGTAAATTTTTTATGCATCTTTTAAATAGTTTAATTATATATATAATATAATTAAATGTACTATAGAGAGACACACCGACGTGGTGGGTGTCTCATTGGAAAATTTGTTACACATCTTGCAAATAGTTTAATGATATATAATCTAATTAAATATAGAATAAATTATACTTTACATCTTTATATTTTATACCAAATCTTACTTTGATCTATACATATAAAATTATGATAGTCAACTCCTTTTATTTTTGATCAAATCCTACTTTAGTCCCTACACATGAAATTGTGACAATCAACCCTTTGTACTTTTGGTAAAATCTCACTTTAGTCCCTACACAATTGTTAATGTCCCATTTCTGTCACTCAATTGTTTAAATCTTTAACAGAATCTACTCTTGTGATAAGAATGCGACTACGACATGAGGGTAAGAAAGGAAAATCATCTACATTTTCTACCAATACACACTTTATCTCAAAATTTACATAAAAATATTACTGTATTTAATATACATATTTTATAATAATTTGATACAAAATATAAAAATATATTCTATTTTTTTTTACATGTTGCATCGAATGAAACTAAAGCCTCGTTTGGGAACAGCCTAATTTATTAACTTTTTGGCTATTTGGCTAAAATATGAGCTAAAAAAAATTAGTATGTTTGGGATGACTTTTTGATTTTTTACGAAAAGATATGCAAAAAGTAGAGAGAAAAGAGAATCTTTGACTTTTTGGTATGGGTTGTTAGCTTTTTGGCTAATTTAGTAACTTTTTGACTAAAAGGGAGGGTTCCCAAACGAGACCTAAATAAATTTTTTATGCATCTTTTAAGGAAAAAGCTTCGGACCCCAGTGGAGTACTGGGAGTCGCGTGTGGCACACCCACGTGGTGGGTGTCTCATTGGAAAATTTGTTATACATCTTGCAAATAGTTTAATGATATATAATCTAATTAAATGTAGAATAAATTATACTTTACATCTTTATATTTTATACCAAATTTTACTTTGATCTATACATATAAAATTATGACAGTCAACTCCTTTCATTTTTGGTCAAATCCTACTTTAGTCCCTGCACATGAAATTGTGACAATCAACCCTTTGCACTTTTGGTAAAATCTCACTTTAGTCCCTACACAATTGTTAATGTCCCATTTCTGTCACTCAATTGTTTAAATCTTTAACAGAATCTACTCTTGTGATAAGAATGTGACTACGACATGAGGGTAAGAAAGGAAAATCATCTACGTTTTCTACCAATACACACTTTATCCCAAAATTTACATAAAAATATTACTGTATTATGTTAAAACAAAACGTAGATTCTGAATAATTAGTAAGATGAACTATGATTTTGCATAAACTAGAATCACGAAATTCTATTTTTCACGATAATATAGTCTTCTAGCTATTCATCTTTTTTTTCTTTAATTTCTTTGTCTTATTTTTTATATTACTTTAAAAACTCTACTTTCTGTGTTCTAATTTTTACCCTTCCAATATATATATATATATATATATTGTATTATATAATTCTTATGTACTTATCACGCAAGACAAAGTATATTGGCGGGAAATATAAATGATTTTTTTCTCTTACTCTCATTTGATAGTCACATTTTTGTTACATGACTGGATTTTGTTAAAGATTTAAAAATAAAATAATAGAAGAGGGATACAGACACTTGTATAGGAATCAAAGTGAGATTTAAGTAAAAGTATAAAGGGTTGACTGTTACAATTTTATATGTAGGGATCAAAATAAAATTTGACTAAAAATATAAAGATTGATTATTATGATTTTATTTGTAAGAATCAAAATCAGATTTGGAACAAAATAAAAAAACAACAATGATTCATCCCACTAAAAACATCACCACTAATAGCACTAATGCATTAAAAAAGTAAAAAAAAAAAAATACAACTCTAAAATCAAAACATCATATCATTAATGGCGGGACCCACTGCCACCTAATTAGTGGAAGCACTAATTAGTGCTCCCAAACATTTTTCATAAAAAAAATATAAAGTGTAATTTACTCCTAAATGTACTATAGAGAGAGCATTGAAAAAAGTAAGTAAATTTATTATACATCTTGTAAATAGTTTAATTATATATAGAATATAATTAAATATACTATAAAGAGACACACCCACGTGGTGGATGTCTTCGTTGAAAAGATTAAATAAATTTGTGATGGATCTAGTAAATAGTTTAATTATACATAATAAATAGTTTAATTATACAAATATAATTAAATGCACTATAGAGAGACACACCCATGTGGTGGGTGTCTCGTTGAAAAAATTAAATAAATTTGTTAGGGTTCTAATAAATAATTTAATTATACATAATTAAATGTACACGTGGTGGGCGTCTCATTGAAAAATCCTCTGCATTTTTATTTTTCCTTTGCCTTTCCTTTCTTTATTCTTACTTGTTGATATGTGCAGATTATGGTAGTGTACCGTTAAAAATATTGGGGGAAAAAAAAAAAGAAAAAAAAAAAGAGCCTGGACAAGAATCCCTTTGCAAATGACATATTTTTAATTGTCTATAAAGGCAGCAATGTTTAGAAAAAGAAAATGCAAGAGACAAATGGTGGGAAGTTTGTGATATTCCACAGCTTAAAATATTGTGTGATGTATTTTTATTGAGTTATAATTTTTTTTGAGAGAAAAATTATATTGTAAAATAAATTTATGTCCCTTATTCTTATTTTTGTAAAAAAAAAAGTGATATTTTTTGTGAGTGATTTTTCATGATAAAATCCCTTGGGTTAGCTATGATTAGTCACTGGAGTCAAAAACTAGTCGGAATGATCGGAATTAGTCATTTGTTGTAAAGATTCACTAGCACTTGCGAAGTTAGGAGTGTATTACTATTTGAAAAATAGTGGAGAAATTCCCGAGGAGGATACTTACGAAGTAGATGTAGACTTAGGTTGAGCCAAATTACTATAAATTACATGTTTGCTTTCTCTTCCCTTTACTCATTTCATTTTTGTTACTCTTATTTATATTGCTTCATATTTTTATTTATTTATTATTTGGGTTATTTTTTAATTTAACAATTTATTTAAAAACACAATTCACCTCACCTCTTAAGTTGTCTTCTGGGTAACACCTTTCAATACTTAAATTTCAATTTTCAATTTTTAGTTTTATCAAATACTACTTAAGTACAGTAGTGCATTTTATTGACATAATTTGAGCCATGTAGCATACTAAAAAATTGGCATGTGCCATTTATTTATTTATTTTCTCTATCTTTTGTGTCCTTTTATTTTCTCGTCTTCGCTAACTCCATAAATTGTCTTATCTTTTTATTTGTATTTATTTTTCTCTTTTGACAGAGATGTAAAATATATTTCAATTTATAATACTATTGATGAATCCATTACATATATCTAATTAATGACTATGAAATAGAAATATAAATTTATAATTATTTTAAATTAAGAAAATATTATTACACTTATCATTGGATGATATAATGAAGTCTCTCTATTACAATATGTAATGAATTGTAATAAGAAGAATCGCAATCCGAGCATAGATAATTTAAGTAAAACATAAAAAATAGAGAGAGACATGAAACACAACCTAGAGTTATTTTTGTCTCTTAATTATAGTGCATCCAACTAGACATGCTCGATACATGATTATCTAAATAGTGATGGTTTGCTCTTTTGTAAATCAAAACACAAAACATGCAGTGGAATAAAATATTTAGATCATACCTTTATTGATCTAAAACCTCGTGGATAAATCACGTGCTTCCTGAATCTAGTCAATCAACCCAGCAGTGAAGTGATATTACAATATTGAATATCACCCACACAAACCACAGTGCAAATGGCTTTGATCGTTATTTTGGGAGAGAGTCAGTATCTTGAAAAAAAACAAACATACGTTGTTTTTCCACTTAATCACCCATATCCCATATATCAGATATATAATCTATTTATCTCATTTATCCATTTGTTAAATGAGATAATATCTGATATCTATATCATCTATCCATATCATGATATGATAGATATATATCCTGAGTGGCTATCTAAATAGGTTTGAATTCAAATTCAAAACTCATTTGGATGAGGTTCAAAAGGTTCTAAGGGTCATGCCACATGGGCGCCCAATTTCTAACATCTTTCAAATCAGTGCTTCACTAAGCATTGTTGTCACTCACTCACTATCCTCAGAATTGGACAATGGACACGCAACATGCTCAACACTCCCTTCTTCTACTTGTTTTACTCTTCTCTTTGTTGCCTTTAATTTTTCAGCTAGCCACTCTGCCTTTGAGCGAAGCTCAACAATCTCTTTATCTAGTTCAACGAGAAAAGAATCTCCATCAACTCTTGCCCCTTGCATTTTTTTGCTCGCTACCATCGAAGAATTGTCTGTGGAAACACTTGGAAAAGCCTTTCTAGATGAACTAGTTGCCATGTCAACTTCCTGTTCATCAACTCCCTCTTCTTCCTCCACCATCTCTTCTATCGCCAAAACCTTACTATTAGTGGACATGTCCAATTTTGTCTCGCCAAATTTGTATGCTCCTAGCATAGGGAATATCTAAGAAGCAACCGAAAAAATTGATCCAATAAAATTAATAGCAGTAGATATATTAGCTAAACAGAACTTTAAATGAAACTAAACAAAACAAAGAACAAGAAGGAAGAATTGAATTAAAATGTTATTTTCTTTTTATGGGAATATGTTGTCTTGCTTATCAGACATTTAGACAGAGACCAATCTTAAAATGTAACTCTGCATACCGATTTTGGCCCCTGTTACTTTTTATTAGATGTTGATTTTGATTGTGGGTTTTTTAGTTTTGTAAATCGCAATAGTAAAAAAATTAATAAAACAAAACAAAAATCTGTCTCCTCTTATCAGTCTGTACAGGTAAATAAAACTGAAAGTGCATGCATACCTCAGGGAGAAGGCAATGAACATGAGCAACGTAGTGGCATTCTTCACAATAGTAAGTAGGCTCTTCTAGGTACCTCATTTCCTCACAAGTATCGCAGTAGAACTCTGAGGCCATGTTTGTTTGGGCGGACTGGATTAGCATTCCCATGACTAATAGTCCTAGGACTACAAATCCGTTGGATTATGTATCCTATCTTAACTAATAGTCAAGTTTAAAATAATTAGTCCCTACTTCAATTGTTTAACCAAACATCGGATTAATAATTTTATTGGACTATTAGTCTAATTCCAAGCTCATGTCCACCCAAACAAACATGACCTGAGTGTTCATGTTCATCCGGATAGTCTCTGATGGGAGAATTGGTGAGAGTAAGGGGGTGCCTATGAATTTTATCTTTGGCAGTTGGTGGTAATTTTGGAACACAATAGGGATGAAGATTAAATTCACACTCCACACAGCGGAAGAAAGGGGTGATGTTTATTATAATATTACAAACGGTGCAATACAATAAGGACGGTCTGTCATTGAAAAAAGGAAGGGGGTGGTGGTGAATTTCAGGCTTGATGAACCAGGGTTTGGAAACTGGGCATCTAATGTCAAAGAAGATTCCGCACTTGGGGTTGCGACAAACATAGGCGAAACCTGAAGCATACTTAATTAGTACACGCATGGCACTGAAGTTCACCTTTGAATTCATGTGCCTTCCCACTACTTATTGGCCTTACATATGGCTTCTCCTTTACAAAAGGATCCTCCGACCGACGAATTGAATACTCGATCAGGGTGAGTGCGTGTTGTGGGTGGCAAAAGGAGTGTTTTACCTTAAGAGGCAAATCCGCACAAGATTTGTGCAGCAAAAACTTGCATTCAAGGCAGACATAGACAACAGAAGAATCCTCCTCAAAGTGAAGCCGGCAAGCATCGCAAGTTATAGTATAGCCCTTTATAGTCATCTCACAAGGAATCAAAGGATGGCGATGGCTTAACTGTTGAATCTGAAACTCCTCCTCCTCCGCCTCTCTGCCTATGGCCCTGCCTTGAGAATTTTGGCTAGACAATGGTATCAACGAAGCGCAACATGGGTCGAGGCTAAAGTTACAGTCAGAACAATGGAAGGTAAAGCCCACCAGCACCTTCCCACAAGCGCTGCACCGATTGGAAGCAGAATCGAAATGGTGGTGGACGAGCAGGGTAAGCGGGTGTTGTGGATGAAGAGGATGATCGATCTGGGAAGGCCATTGGGCGCATGATTCATCCAGCAGGCAATTGCACTCTAGGCAAACACAGATCCAACTTCCATTGATGGGTTGCCTGCAGGCAGAACAAGGAAAATTAAAAATGGTTTTGTTCTCGCAGATAATCAATGGATGTGGGTGGCGAAGTAGACTTTGAATTTGAGTTTGAATTTGACGGTCTTGGACATTTCTTGTTTCGGTATGCTTTAGTAAAGCACAACAAGTGTCCAGGTTAAAGCCACAATCGGAACAGTGGAAGTAATTAGAGGAGCGAGGGATCGGGCCACAGGCATCGCACTTGAATGACACTACAGATGATGATGACGCATCATTTGAGGACGTCATTTGGAAGGTGAGAGAGTGTTTTGGGTGAAATGGGTGTACCATCTCTCTTTGCAATTTAGCGCATCGTATGTGGATATTGTAACTTGGAAAGCAAAAGTGTTCGCGACACGAATAAGCACACGACCAGAGAGGGATTTCGTTCCGGCATACCAAGCACTCGCCAGGGTCCACTTCGTGGAATATCAATGGATGCTCATGGATGAAATGTTGAATCTTGTCTTCCATCTCTGGATCTCTCTCTGTCTCTCTCTGTTGAATCTTGTCTTCCATCTCTGGATCTCTCTCTCTCTCTCCCTCGTGTGTGAGATGAAGGTGCTGATTGTTGCAGTGAAAAAGAAACGGCGCAATGTTACGTATCATGAAAAACTTTTCATGAAACTAATTATAAAAGTTTTGTGACCTTTGAATTACACTTAAAATAAACCATCACATACTAATTAAGGTAATTCAAGGATCATAAATCTTTCATGATCATTTTCATGAAAAAATTTTCATGATCCCTAACTTTTTTCAAAGAAACCTTACACTTTTTTTTTGGATATAAAACATGAATCTATTTTTGTAGGATATTTTTTAGATTTAATGATGTGTAAAAATAATTTGTAAATAATTAGAGGACACCTAATAGAGAGATTTGTATTAAATATTTTAACATATCATCACATCATTAGATTTAAAAAATAAATTTAATTTTTTTAATTTGAATAGCACTACTCTATATTTATAGATATAAATAATTTGTCAAAATGATACCTCTCAAAAGGAAAAGACTATAAAAGGTGTGTATCGTGTGTACCTTATAACTAAAGAAAAAAAATAGTATAATTTCATAATTTTTGAGTTATAATTTGAAAAAAAAAAAATAAAAAAAAAAATAAAAATAAAAAATTTCGCAATTGACAGATAGATACCTCTCACAAGGGAAGGACTATCTGGATGTTCTTTGCTCTCTGCACATGCCTATTACGGAAAACAAAAATCACAATTTACAGATTGAACATTTTACCCACCAGCATCCCTTGATCCCAGTCACTTGTTATGAGGATGTTTATAAACTCAACTGTCCTATGTGAAACGAATATATCCAGAAATCGGTGTGTACGTTTGTTCCAAATGTGAATTGACAAAACAATGAAAACATAACTTTTCTATCCTTCCACAAGGAAGACTATCTTCTTCTTATAATTTGGAGTATTCTATACAAGGAATGTTTAAGCTACCAAATCCCAAAGATTAAGACATTTACAGCTAATTCCCTAACTACAAGCAATCATACAACCTAGCAAACCAAACTGAAACAATTTGAATTTGGAATATAAATCATCTCTAATAGAGGAAGTCAGCACTGACATGAATTCTTCATCCATAAATCATGTGCCGAGTTGCCACAATAGATCCAACACCCATCTCACCCTCTCATTCTCCGCATGTCATCTAATCTGGAACCTATGCACAAGGGAAATCTTTGTAGTTGCCATGCCTGCAGCTAAACTTGCACTGGTTTGACCTTCCACTGTTTCATCTGCCAGATTGATCGGGGCAGGAAATACGGCATGCAAATGTGCAACATATACAGCAAATGCGATTGGCAGCAGATTCAACATTGTATCCATTAACATCCCATCCCATTTGATGTGGAGAACAATGAGTTATTATGCATTGTGTGCCACCAATTCTTGGGCGACTCAAACTATATATGCTTCCAATGCATTTTTGTGGTGCACAAATCATGTGTCCATTTAATGCCAAAAGAGATCCGACACCCTTTCCACCCTCAACAACCTCTGGCCATAGTCGCTCTGGAGTACAGTAAGGATTGATTGTGCAAAGCCTGTTGTAGCTACCAGCACTCAGGCTGCGCCTACAACTGTGCTGTGTGTGATTTCAACCTGGGCCTTTCATGTGCTTCTCTAAAGCCCACCCTTCACGAGCACCTTCTTCTTCCAATGGACCAACATATTAATGAGAAAATCACTAACTTCAAGTGCACAACCTGCCGCTCTAGATCTGTTTCCTTTTATTTTACTTTTCTATTTTTATTATTATTATTTTACTTTATGAGAATTGATAAAAATAAGGTATCAACACCCACTTTGATATGATGAATTCTATCATGATTTTAGTACTTTAGATTTTTTTATTTTTAATAATAATGTGTTTCTAAACGAAATTTGTGTCTATTTTATTAATAGACTCAAAATAAAGTAAAACTTATACTATAAATATATTTTAAATATTACGTACATATTAGTGAATTCTAAAAGTTAAAATTCTATTTTTAATAAAATTAGCCACATGCTATGTGATTTCCTCAGAAAGCCAGACAAAATGCAGCATCAACAGCTTTGTAGGGATATTTTCCTGCGTTGCGTCCTCTGTAATCTAAATCTCCATGTCAAATGTATCCCAGCCCTACCATGCACTAGAAAACATATATTGTCGCGACACAAACCCTCCCTTATAAGTTTAGCGTCATGATCGGCCAACAATCTTAGATTACCTACGGCCCCTATTAACAAAATCAATTGTAGTATAAATTACGGGGCTTAGTGGAAGCAATGTAAGACTTGAAAATAATCCATTGAGTTGTGCTTATATGAAAAGATCTCATATTATAGCTGTGCAACCATTCAATGTACATACATCACAAAGGTTTTAAACATTTGATTCATACATCAAAACTCCACAACTTATAATTAAACAAAAACCCTATATACAAATACCAAAACAAGATTACAAAACAAAAAGAGGTTAGACTTTGCTTGGCCCACTCGAGCCCAAGCTTACTCCTTCTCGGAAACTCGTCAAGAGGTTGACACGGGGTTGACTCTGAGGCTTACTCTAACCTTGATGCTCAGCTTGCTCACCTATACATACATATAAATAGTGAGCTAGGGCCCAGTGAGTAATAACAGAATAAAGAGGTCACATGAATGAATTTCGATAGCATTTCAAATATCAATTTCTAATTCTATTCGAATCTCGATATCAATAACCATTCCAATCAATTTACGTGGCACATCCAATAGAGTAACAATGCATCAATGACAATAGGACCACAAGGGTCATTCAATGAGACTACGATGGGTCATTCAATGAGACCACGATGGGTCATTCAACACACCATATTCAATGTGACCACGTTGGTCTAACATCAGAGATCTCAGTGTTTCAATTATTCAATGGGCCACAGTATTGTTTTCCCCAAGCGAAGGTCAATGGGCCATGGTATTGTTTTTCCTAGGCAAGGGCCAATGGGCCATGGTGTTGTTTCTTCCAAGTAAGGGCCTCACTAAAGGATACCATAAATACATTTTCAAAAGGGAATTTCATTCATTCATAAGAAAATAATGTTTCAATAAATCATTCCATCAATCATTTATCAATTTCGAGAACAACAATAGTTTCGAAAATAAATATAACTTAAACATATCTTTATAAAGTTACTACTCATAGTGGGTTAAGTTGATGCTAGGCCTCGAATGTCCACCTAAACAAAATACATAACAAATACACAATTGAAGCACCACTCAAAATCCATTTCACTTTAATTAACTCTCCTTATGTGTTTCTAAGTCATTCCATGGTTATGTGAGTCCAATTGGTGCCTAAGAATACTTGAAATGATATGAGGATGCAAATATGCACTTAAAAGAGTTAGTCAAAATTTGCTGAAAATGGGGTCTTTGCTCGAGCGCAACTTTGGTCGCTCGAGCGGTCTACAAAACTCTGCAAAAGTATTGGTTGCTTGATTATTACACTCAACAGTCGCTCGAGCCAAGCACTAAGTAAACATGGATTCACTCAAGCGCACACTTTGTCACTTGAGCCACTGTGCAATTGTCTACAAAACTTCTGGGAGTTTGAGTTTTACGCTTGAGCAACACTTTCTTCGCTCGAGTGAACTGGTTGAATTCTGAAATTTCCAGAATTGTGTTTGAAACTCAAAACTCATCTTTCAAGTGTAAGACTTGCATGGCTCATTCAAAAAACATAGAAAAACATGGTGGAACATGAAAATATAATTAATTGTAACCACTTGTCCAAAATCATGGTCCATTCTCAAATTTGAACTCAAATTTTAAGCTATAAGTCATGCATGTCTTAACTTGAATTCTCTTCCTTTCAAAACATAACAAGATGACATGAAATGTATAAAACCATGATGAACCTACAAGTTCTTGTCTTCTAGACCTCATGCATGTATGAAACTCAAGAAATCTTAACTCAAAAATGAAGGATCATGCATGCATGTACATAACTCAACTCAACTGTTCCAATTCATGGTAACTCTAGCCTCCATTATACATTTACATGTAGATGAACTTAAGAACTAGATGAATTCAACTTCTATATAGTTTTTCTGCTAGCTAGATATATGCTATTGAACATGGTGTATGTAGCTGCTATGGAAAACATAACAATGATAGGCTTGTTTTTGTATGTGCTAGCTAGATATATGCTAGCAGCAATGTTTTAGTTGGTTTGTTTTGTATAGCTTTGGTAGGGCCAGGGGTATACCCCTTGTATTCTTGTAAGTTTTCTTTCTTTTATTTATGACTTATTCACCCAAAGGGGGAAAAAAAAATCAAGTATAATCTAGCTTAATTCTCCAAGTCTCCTCCAAATCTCATTCAAATTCTCCTCCTCTCTCTAAAGTGTTGAGTTCACCCTCCTATCTCTCTCAAAATCTCAGCTCATGTTATGTTTTATGAGTTCATTTGAGCTTATGTAGCTCATATATATATGGGTAATTAGCTTAAGTTAATTAAGTTTACTTAGAAGTAATTAATTCCACTTAGTTTTGATTAATTCTAATTATTTTGATACAAATCAAATTTTAATTGAAGTTGCCAAAAAATTCTAAATATTCTAATTAGCCTATAGGGCTAGTAAATTTTGGTTTCTGAAGCCGTTTGGGCTTTCAATTTCTAATTCTAAGTTGATAAGTAAACAGATATTCCATGTATCAACAAATAATCACGAAATTAAGCATGTAATTACACATTCAATCAGACAACCATGCAATCAAGCTTATTAAAATACTAAAATATAATACTACGGAGGTCGGGGTCATCACATATATCTCACAGGCATCTTCTCACTCTCAATGATCCTCTTCCTGAAGACGATTTAGACGAGTACTGTTGTGACACAAGCGAGAAAGAAAGAAATCCAAAGCATTCAGTTTATTATTGTGCCAAAGGCAAATTTGTTGCTCATATTGAATTGAAAGTTTAGTCCCCGAGGTAAGCCTAACAACAGTCTTACATAAAACTTTTACAATAATATTTGAGAACTCTAATTTGAGAGTTCTAATGCAATTCTAATGATGTGGTGAGTATCCATGTGAAGGTGAGGCCCACACTCCTCTCTCTCTCTCTCTCTCTCTCTCTTCCACCTCACTAGAGCTCCATTTAGAGCTCTCAAATTAGAGCTATATATCATTACTCTAAACAAAAATGTTTTTTAGGTACTATTTCCTTAGAAAACAAAAATGTTTCCAAGTATAATCAATTTTCATAATTATAGTTGTAATCTGAAACTCTTGTTTTCAAGGTCATACCACTCAACATATAGTTCATTCGTTGTACTGATCACACAATTGATGACAGTTTACACAGGCATTACCTGATGAAGAGTCAAATGTGGCTCAACAAATTCAAGAAGCAGAATTTATCCTTTCTGACTCAATGGCTAGCGAAGATTGGGAAGAGGAAGATGATGCAGATCAAGAAAGTGATGCCACAGATTCCAGCCTTGCTGCCCTGGACAATGAAATAGAACAACTAACAGCAAAATCAGAGATACACAAGCAGGAACAAGCCCGTCACATCTTGCTGTCAAATAAGAAATGCTCCAATGAATGAGGGTTCAACATCAGATTTTCAATGTTAACATGCATATAACACAAAGGCACAAGTCACTGGACTTTGTGTGTTGGTGGTTCCATTTTGACTAGCTTATATTTAAGGCCATCTATAAATTACCTTTTTTCCTTTTTATTGAAAAAACCAAATCAGTCCAGTTGATAGAAGTTGGGTTGATTCAGTTGTTATATTTATTTGGGTATTTTGTACAGTGGATGAGAAAGTGTGACAGCATCTAACTTACTTGTGGATGAAGGGTCTTGAGGGGAAAGATAAGGTCAGCAGTCTAATAAATTAAAAAGAGTGGATCACTGAAATGTGAACTCATCTGAAAGTAAAGAAAACAGAGCGAAGTGTTGCAAAGAAACAGAGGAGAAAGAAATGGAGATTCAACATTTCAGCCACAATCACCCACTAACCCCTCATGAAGAAGGAGAGCTGAAGACAGCAGTGAAGTGTTCTTGCTGTGACTTACCCATCTCAGCTCCATTCTACGGGTGTACCATATGCAACTTCTTCATCCACAAGTCCTGCTCTGAGCTCCCCCGAGAGCTCGATCAACTACACATCTTCCACCCCATACACCCTCTCACCCTCCTCTCTCGACCCCCTCGCAATTCAACAACCTTCAAATGCTACGTTTGCGAGAAATCTCGCAGAGGCTTCATCTACCATTGCTCACACTGTCAACTTGATCTCTGCATCAATTGCGTTTCACTAGTACCTCCCTCCAAAAACCCAGATGAGTATCACCAGATTCAACTCCCAACCCACGAACACCCCTTCATTCTATGTCCCAAGGATGAAAAATTCGATCTTTCCTGCATTGATTGCCACCTACCCATTGAAGAGGACTCGCTCTATCTGTGCCCAATCTGCATTCTCTTCTTCCACCAGTCATGTGCCGACCCACCACCAAAGATCAACCACCCATTTCACTCAAAACACCCTCTGATTCTCCTCTATTGGACATCGGATTGCAAGTCGATTTCTTTTCGCTGCAACGCATGTGGGAGGCATGGCAGTGGCCGGACTTACCACTGTGCCGATTGCGGTTTCAACATGCACGTTCCGTGTTCTCGGCTCATGCCCACCGTGAAGTCTGATATTCACCAACACCCTCTTGCTTTCTTCCAATTCTACATTGATATTAGTTTAATTTGCCAAACTTGTGATAGAAGATTGGATAGGCCTTATTTTCGTTGCGTAGAGTGTGATTTTAGTCTCCATCTTGATTGTTGTCCTTCATTGCCGCATTTCGTCAAACACGTAAGCCACAGACATTATCTTACCATTACTGATTCTCCAATCAAGGACTATTCGGATGAAGATGATGATTCGGAGTTCTACTGTGATGCTTGTGAGGAGAGAAGGAATTTGTATGATCGCAGTTATTTTTGTGCGGAACCGGAATGCCACTTTGTTGCTCACATTAAGTGCCTCATCTCTGAGGTATATGCCTATCTTTTACCCATTTCTTCAATGAATGCTTCAATATTTGTGTTCTATGGTTGCATCAAATTAGAATTATGAAGTCATTTCCCATGGAAGAAGTTGGAAATAGTTGTGATTGATGCCTGTTTTCGATTGATCTTTCACTCAACATTTGGCTTAAAATTTTACTTTTTTAGGACAGGAGGCAAGGCATAGTGTTACAATTGTTGTTGAAAGATTAGTTTGAGAGAGTGAGAGAAGCTAGAGAGCGAGAGAGAGACTCTGAAATATTTCTGTATATTGCATATTACAAAGAGAATGAACTCTCTCTTTATAGAGAGAAATATGGCACATTGGATACTAAACAAACCCACTACCACCGAAAGTATAAAGACTAATGCTTAAAGAAATAAAGCTAAAGCTAAAAGAATAAAGTTAAAGCTAAAGTTAACAATTAACAAGTATACAATTAACAATTATATACTAACAGCCCCCCGCAAAACTCAAGGAGCGGAAAGCATCAACCAAGTTGAGTTTTGGAAACAAGATTCATTGAAGGCGCCAGGAGGATGAGCTTTAGTGAAGATATCAGCGGGTTGATCGACTTGAAGCCAATAGGAAGAAGATGAACAGTACCGCAAGTACATGCTGGCGAATGAAAGACAATCAATCTCAATATGTGTTTGGAGTGCGATCTCATTGGAAAAACATCATTGTGAGCAATCTTTTGAAATGGTACTCTGATGTCACAGTAGAGAGGGGTAGGAGCAGGATGAAGAAACAGCCCATATCGAGCAAGGAGCCAACGAAGCCAGAGAAGTTCCTGTAGTGTATCAGCAAGAGCTTCGATATTCAGGCTTCGGTGCATAGGAGCGGCAGCTGAAGGGATTATTTTTGCTACGCCAAGCCAGATAGGAATCCCTAAGAAGAAGCAGAATCCCGTGGTGGAAGCGTCGATCCGCAGGGGATTTCCCCAGCCCACATCAGCATCGGAAAAGGCACGTGAGGTTAGAGAGAGCGAGGAAGCAGAGAAGTGAAGACCATGGACAGAGTGCCTTTGAGGTAGCGAAGAGCGGATTAGCGTGGGGACAAGTCCAAGAGCCTGTAAGGTTGAGTCTATGTTCTATTGTGAGTGCGAGGAGTCGACTGTACTGACTGACAATCGTGAACAGCATACAGGTAATGTCAGTGGACGAGTGACATGTGAGATAAACAAGACTGCGACGAGCTGGCGATAAAGAGTGTAGCATCAGAGAGAGAGTCCATCGAGAAGGGAGTGGAGACGAATGTTTTTGGGATTCAAACCGGAGTAGAGGCCAGTTTTTGCAATCAGTAAGGCACCCAGCACGAGCCGAGAAATCGGATGCATATTTGGCCTGGGACAAATAGGAACCAGTAGATTCATTGAGAACTCAAGGCCAAGAAGATAGTTAAGAGTATCAAGGTTCCTTCATCTCAAACTGTTGGTTGGAGAAATTGTTTGAGTGTGGAGAAATACCAGCTTTTCGATCTTACAGTGATAATTCATATTCATCCAACATACAGAAGAGAAGAGTTAGTTACCATGAAGAAGTAAGTCCATATAAAAAGAGCAGGAGTTTCTTAGGAAGCTAAGAGGTGAAGCCGAAGTCATGAATGGTAGAACTGAACTTAGCAAACCAAGCACGAAGGCGCTTGCTTGAGGACCAATAGAGAGGCCACGCTGTAGTTTGCAACCTGATGAGTTGAAAAGTGGACCAGGTGGAGGTGGGCATGTAGACCTCCTTCAAGAAGATGACCATTGAGGAAGCATTTTATTGAATCCATCTGAAAGCCCCAAGTGGGCGAGCAGTAGAACAGCAAGTAAATTGCGAACAGAGGAAGCCTAGCAAAGGAGAGAATGGTCTCCTTTTCATAATCCAATGCCATATTCTTGGTTTGAAACCTTTGGCAACAGACGAGCTTCTGTAGCGTTCAATAGAGCCCCCCCCCTTTTTTCAGATGATTGTTTTTGATTTTGTAAACCCATTTGCAGCCAACGCAGTTTCTGCCAGGAGGAAATCAACAGGATCCCAGTATTGAGCTTCTGTCCAAGGCATGGAGTTCATCAGTCATAGCTTGCTGCCAAAGGACGGATTAGTACAAGCCTCACAGATAGGAGGTTTAGGTGCGTAAGTAGAGAAGGCCAGCAGATCCAACAATTAATCACGAAGAGATAGGGAGGTTGAGTTACCCGGCGTGGTCGACCCGTAGGAGGATGGTGGGAGGAAGAGCGGTGGAGAAGGAGGATGTGGCAACAAGAGGTAGACCTCAGGGAAGAGCAGGCTGGACAGGTATCAGGGGTGAGCAAGGGCGTCTCGATGGAGGAGGAACCTGTATCCAAATCAAGCAGAGAAAAGATCTCTATGAAAGGATTAGTAAACAGTGCAGAAGAAGTAGGGAAAGTCCGGGCGTAAGTGAAAGGCAGGATAGTGAGGAAAACATTTGGTGTTCCCAAAAACGACATGGTGGGAGATACGAAACTTTGAGAGAGAGGGATCCCAACAGCGAAAGCCTTTTATGTTCAATTCCATACCCAAGAAAGCAACATAAAGACGAGAGCGAGGTTATCAAGCTTGGCATTTGTTCATGGGATTGAAGTAGAACAAAGCAGGCAGAGCCAAAAATCGGAGATTTGGCGCATAAGGAGGGGCGAGTGCCATGCAAGACGGTTCCAAAGGGAGTTTGATTATGGATGACAGGGGTAGGAGCACAAGTGATAGTGTAGACAGCAGTGGAGGGCAGCTCTCTCCAAAAGTTTTCAGGGGCATTGAGAAGAGAGAAGGAGAGGCGCGATAGTGTCAAGAATTATGATCTATGTTTGCCGTTCAGCGCGGGCATTTTGCTGGGACGTGCAGCACAAGAGCGATGAGGCAGTTGTACCATTGAGTGCTGAAGAAAGGAAAGGAAATCTGAATCCCGATATGCCATAGCATTGTCAGAGCGAAAATTTTGATGGCTCTAGAGAATTGGTGTGGACCATTTGTGCAAATCGATAATTAAAATGTGTCTTTAAAGTTTCAGACCTATCTTTGTTCATGAGGAAAAACAAGTAAACCCGGGGAAAAATCATCGAATGAAACACAACAAAATGCGAAAGATCCCCCATAATGTAGTAGTAGGGAGGGCCCTAAAATACCGAATGATATAAGATCACAAAAGGTGCAAGGGAGGAACAGAAGTACTTTTATATTAAATGATTAAAGCAGGTTGTTTGGCAAAGTTGACAGGGTATACAATCGGAAATTATCGGGAATTTACATGACCCAACTGGTCCACTAGAAACCAAAGACGTTAAGCGATTAACAGAAATATGCCCCTAAGCGACCAATGCCAAAGCTTGAAAGGGGGAATGAGGAAGTAGATGTACGAGCACGCGATCTTCGAGGAGGAGCAGGAACATGAAGCTGTTTGAATGAGTTCATAAGGCGTCCACGCTTACGAGCGATCCCAATAGTCGTTGCCGCGGTCTTGAGGGTTCCTTACCAAAACATATCATAGTAGCAAAAAAATTGTTGACTAGTTAGACCAAGTGTTCACATTAATGACCAATGGAAACTAAAGGTTAACGGTCAAGAAGCGGGATAGTGATAAACTTGAGGTATAGATAGTAAGAAGGGTGGAAGTCAGTATAACATGACGAACAGACATAGAGGAACCATCAGGCAGTAATTTATTGAGGGAAATGAGGAGATGAAGATAAGGAAGAAAAGCATAGAAGACGGGAGGTCATATTGATTACAACAGGCAAAGTCAAAATACCAAGAAGAGTTACCTGGGATTATAGACAAGCAGTAGGGAGAGGTGTACCAGATGGGAGAGAAGGTGTTTGAGCATGGCCTCTACATCCGCTCGGAGAAAAGCGAAGGGTAGATGGAGCAGGTGACTCAGAGAACCCTGCAGACCGGTACTAGTGTCAGTGATTGAGATCTGATTCCCGGGTTAAGGTGAATGAGCTCGAAGCGGCAATAGAGGCAAGCCACGTCGCATGCAAGAGGACTGGTGATGAGATGATTCCCGGAAGTAGCGGGTGAAGCGAGTGTGATGAGACTGAGGTTCCCGAGCGATGAAAGCGCTTCCCGAAGAGCCACCGCGGAGAGGGAGTGGCTATGGAGGATGGAGGCGGGATTGGATTGCGAAAACAAT